TTCTGTCGTTGTCACCTTTGCAGTGTCAGGGTCCCAGGAAGAAGCAGAGGTCATCTGTTTGTGGGCGCTTAGAGCAAGGATGTAGATCTCCTCTTTTCTTTATTCCCAGGGCCCAGCAGATTCCCTTACAGTGAGTGCTAATAAGCATTGCTGAGTGAGTTAACCAGTGCATGAATAAATGAACAGTTAGCAGAGAACACATTCATGGGATAACTTTATGAAATCAAATTTTGATAATGTTTTCACTATCAAAAGACAGAAGTCCCCCCAGAAGACGTGAAAAACAAACTCACTCTACTCTCTCGCCCAGAGCAGGCTTACAGCTCTCTTCACTGTAATTTACCCTAGATTTCTCTTAGGAGATTGAGGGTAGAAAAAAAAATCTGTAATATTAAATGTCAGAAAACAAAGCCAGAAGGTGCAATATGTAGAAGAAAGCATACTCAGTGACATTCTGACTCCACGCTTTTTTTCAGCCCGCATTTCCCTCTCTGTCTCTCATTAGCAGATACAGCTGACAAATGAGCGCATGTGTGTGCCTGACCTTCCTGAGCAAAACGACCAAACAGGAAACGCCCGAGAAGCTTCACCCTGGACCCCTTCGCCGCTCAGCGACCCATTGAAGGAATATCTGTGCCCGCAGTGTGCGTGGCCACTAGGGGTCCCCCGCAGCAGGCTCTGTGCACTGGGAATTGGGAGCAGAGGCGCCTCTCTTTGTTTGCACCCCAGGTGTGGGCGCCTCTTTGTTCGCTGGCAGGGTTGCTACCTGCAGCCCGTGAGTGGGCTCCTTGCTCCTGGTACCGCCTTTCCGGAAAACCGAGCGGGTCTCAATTTGAGACCCTAGTCCGTATGACATTCCCTCCCAAGAGTCAGTGCATTGCTTCTTCTAGGAGTAGGTATGTTCGTATTCGAAACAAGGCTTGAACCACAAATAGTTCTCACAATGAGAGTTTATTACTGTTGAGAAATTGACGGCAAAAGGACCACTTTTAAGGCTACGGTAGAGTATTTGCCATAAAATATTTAAAGCTACTTGACGAATAGCCCCACTATTCTCTTGTGAATGCTGGCCACTGGATTAATCTTGAAAGTAAGAAATATTTCATTCTGTGCTTAGCACCGGGAAAGGGAATGACCTTCACTGAGAAACACCCCAGAGTGCCCGAAAGGAGGGAGTTCAGCTCCAGCCCTGACAGCCACATTTACCCTGCAGTGTGTTCCTGTGTGCTTTTAAACTTCAAAGGAGCACAAAAACAAAATAAACTAAGAGCTAGCCTGGAAACCATAAATTACTGTGTGAGTTGTAACAGCCATTGCCAAAGTTGGGGAGTGGGGCTGCCAACATTGGCTCTATCAAAATTTTGTCCTTTTGTTGTCATCATTGTAGTTTTCCTTGTTCATGGCAAAGACCATGCGCGCCCGTATGTTCTCATCAACTTCTTTTTGGGCTGCAGATGTGATGCTCATTGTCTCGTCTCATTGCTCAGTGATCATAGGTATTAAGGCACACATGAGAACCACTGAGGATCTCACTGGCTTTTTAGTTTGTCCATTCAACAGAATTTAACAAATACCTACTGAGCACTTATTGTGTGCAGAGGACGCCAAGGAATCCAAGGGTTGGGGATACAAGGGTCCTGCATCAGGGAAGATTTTGATGATCCACGAGAGAAAAAGTGTACCGAAATTACATAAGGTGGGACAGAAATCTGTTAATGAAGAGGTATAGAAGAACTGGGGGAATTCGCCAGGACGGCTGGCTTCTGGGGTGGGAATCGACTGGACTCTCCAGAGAAGACACCTGCTTGGTGAACATTCACCACAGGTAGGATGGGTAGCTGGGAAGACCTTTCAGAGGTCAGTGCTGCCAGCACCAAAGGACACTGGCACAGGGAGGAAAAGTCACTTCTGTGAAGCAGAGAACAAGAAAAAAACTTGGAAAGGGAACATTGGAAGTGTTGGATGCCGGGAGAAAGCTAAGTTAATGTGAAATGGTAATGTTTAGTCCTATGTCGACCAAATTATTCACAACAGTCCTTGATGCATAGGTCTTTCAATGTTGCAGAAGGATAATAGAGATATCTAAAATAAATTCTAACATCATATTAGATTTTAAATGGATTAAGATCTTTGTAATACCAATATTCCCTTTTTTTCTGGCAAGCAGGAATGCTATACAACACACAAGCTGGTTTTCTCATTGTTTTATATGGAGAACTGCTTTGGAAGGTCCACAAACAGGTCCTTGAGCCTACTGGTGGAGAAGGGGCTTAGTATTTTGTTTCAGCCCCTGCCTGCTGATTTACTGATGTAAGAAGCAGCAAGCATGTAGGCCTCTGAGTTGAAGAAAGATGATAGTGAACAGCTATGCCTGCTGAGTTTTCTCCATTGGTTATGCATTAACAATCCAAATGATCCATCAACTTTCAGGTTTCTGTTCTGAATCCCGAGCTTTACAGTTGTTCTTCAGAATAATGGGCTTCACAGTTATCACCCATCTCCTGCCAACAGGCTGGGCTTTGCCTGTAAGTTTCAGTCCTACTATGATTTTGTACAGCACAGCATGGTGGCCTACAGGTGGGTGGTGCCATCACAATAACTATCCCCTCATCTATCAATTTGGAATAATAAAAATAATCACAAGAAATATCACAAGGCCATCGTTTACTTTCTCTAATTAAACCTCTATGAAGGCAAATATTATCATCCAAACTGCAGATAAAGAATCTGACATTTTTCTGTGAGATATTAGAGTTGAATAATGAAACCCATTGCTCATTGCTCCATTTGGAACAACAGCAACAATAATTTATTTAAACTTTGGTCCAACAATGAGACATTTTCCCAGCAGGATAAGTCATTGCTTATTAGCTCTCTCCAGGGGAGGAGGCAAACACTTTTCAAGCCTTGAGTTCCATCTTTCAAGTGAACAATTCACAATCACTTGTGTGACACACACTTTACATACACATATCTTGTTCAGTAGTCACAACCCTCTCTCAGCACTTTTATTGCAGCTGAGCCTCTGAGTTTAAGAAGTTGCTCAAGATCTCATAGCTAGTAATAAGTGGCAGAACCAAAGTCTGAACCCAGATGTTGTGATCTTCAACACCAGGTGGTAAGAATCTTATTAGGTGACATAACTAAATCCACCATCTAATGATATAGAGGGATATGCTGCACAGATTACTAGTCAGATAGTGCTGTCTTCCTGGATCAAATTAACTCTGGGGAATCTGGAAATATTTTTTTGATAGAGAAGTCAAGGGCATGTTGTGAGCATATCCTTGGAAGTCTCCAGATGATGTCACATTTCACAAAAAGGAAAATAGTGTGTGTGTGTGTGTGTGTGTGTGTGTGTGTGTGTGTGTGTGTGTGTTTGGTGGTGGTGTATTCTGGTCTCAGCATGGAGAAGGGGTTCTTCAAAGTTCAGTTCAGGTGAGGGGTATGAAGACCCATTCCAATGTGCCTGGAGAGTAACGTAGAAGCCTTGATTCTTCAAACCAGCCATGTACAGTGTTTAAAAATGAGCCTTATTGGGAAGTCATACTGGGATGGCGTCCTAGAGGGAAGTTTTTAAAAACAGTTTAAATCAATAGAAAATGTGACATGAGTGCATATTGTGATTACTTAATATTTGTTATTCGCTGTGTGTTGGGTAGTTGGATATGGATCCCCCAGGACCTACCTGCTGCTGTTGCTGTGTCAGTCCTGATAATTTTTAAATGGACTATGTCCTTTTAACCATGTTTTTAAAAATTGAACTACCCCCAATGTGAACACTTTCCATTTTGCTATATAATGAGAGTACTTTCATTCCTTTAATGTTTGCTTTTTCCTTTGATCTAACAATTTCTGTTCAAATTTCACAGTTTTCTGTTGCTTCAGGATTGAAAGAACCAATTACCCTGCTGGGAGCGTGAAATAGACTTAAAAAATCTGCATGGTATTTCCTCCTGGTGAAATTAATTTAGCTTTAAATACAGGAGGAAGGTGCACACCTTGGCTTTCTCTCCCACACCTGAGCAGTTCCTTACCGAGAAAGGGCACAGTAGGACCTGCTACCATGTCTGTAGTCTTTTGTGAGGATCCTTTACAAGGCACAGTCATAGAACCTCTTTCTCTCTGACACTCTGCTTTGTGTAGGCCTGATAAGTGTTTGGAGTGTCTCTATTTCTTTGAAGCCCAGGCTTAGAAACCCAGTGAACCCACTGGGCTGAACTGGCTTCCCTGAGTTTTAGGAAATGCATCTTCTGGCAGGGATGGGGTCGTCAGCTCCAAAGCAACAAAGGACAATCTGCAGGGAATGGAAGGGGCATGCCACAGCTTCCCTGGCACCCAGGTGCCCTCTCCTAGCACCATGCCCTTAGTGACTCCGCCTTGGCTCTCTGGGTGCCCACTCCCGCCTTTTCGCTGTCCCAAAGCCCATTGGAGCCAGACGAGCCTCACCACCTTCCCCCAGACCCCCTCCCTGTCCCCATCAAACCCTAGGGCCAGCGCTGCGCGCGGCACCCGGCTCGGCCCGCGCCCCAGGCGGCCACCCCAGCACCTCAGGTCCCGGCTCCCGAATCCGAGCCCCCCGCCCCCCAGTCCCTAGCCTGTCCCCCAGCCCCCGCGGCAGGAGCTGTCAAGCCAGCTGCGGGTGAACAGCTCCGGAGCACCAGCGTCTCCTCTCTTTCCTTTGTGTGCGCGCGCGAGCGGAGTTGGGGCGGAGGGAGAAGGGGGAGGTCGCTCTGTCTGTCTGTCTCCCGCTGCCTTTGCCCCGGGCTGCCTGAAGTGCGGGCGCGGAGGCGGGAGCTCCGGGAGGGTGCGGGGAGCTGGCCGAGCCGCTCGGGGCCGCTGGGGCGCCCGGGTCCCCGCCGCGCCCCGGGGAGCGCGGACGGTGGAAGGCTCTGCTGGAGCCACCAGCCGCCCGCCCGCCCGCCCAGGCCACCGCTCGGTCTCCCCTCGCTCCCACCGACTCCCCAACACCCGGAGAAAAGCGTGCAAAGGCGCGGAGAGGGACGGAAACCACAAATAAATAGCGGCGGCAGCAGCGCGTCATCTGGCGGAGCAGGAAGTGCAGGCAGAGTCCGGAGGCTGCCGCTTTCTGCGCGTCCCCAGGACTTTGCCATGGGCTGGGGGCCGCGGCGGCTGCGGGCGGCCGGGCCAGGGCAGCGGCGGCGGCGCACGCACCGGGGCTGAGCGAGCGGCCACGCGGGGGGCGCGCGGAGATGGCTGCGTCCAGCAACTCCAGCCTGTCCGGCTCCTCGGTGTCCTCCGGTGAGTTCAGCCCGCCGGGCGCGGTCTCGCCCTGCCCGCGCCCTGGGATGGGGACAGCCTACCTGTGGCCGTCCCGCCCGCGCTCTGGGCGCGGGGAAGCCGGCCAGCGCGGTACTTGGTTTGCCATTGCCAGCACCTTGGTGCCCGCAGCACCTCCGCGCCCGACCTCTGACGGGCAGAGGTGGCAGAGCGGTGCGCCCGGGGTGTGCGGACGCGGGGGCGCTGGGGCTCCGGCACGGCGGGCTAGCGGGGCAGGAGCAGGGCAGCTCGCACTTTCTGGCGCTGCTGGCGCGGAGGCTGGCGGGGCGGGGAAGGTCGGCGCCGGGAGGGTTAGCGGTGCAGCGCCGTCACCCTAGGTGCCCACATCCGAAGCAGGGGGGAGAAAACCCTGGCTCCTCGCACACTTGGTTTTCTTTGTTTGTTTCAGAAATTAGCTCTGTGGAGCCACTCGCGTGGAACACGGGTGTGAGATAGCAGTAATAAAGAGAGTGTGTCTTTCTAGTCTGGATTGAAGTAGGTTAGGGAAAGGAGGTCGAGCCCAGCCTCTGACTCTTGGCACGTTTACAAGTGTGAGTGTCTGTGTACGGGGTGGAAATGTATGCGTGAGAGATTCTCCTATGTGGCTCCTTAGACATTTTCTTGTAGTACTCTCTGTAATTTTACTTTCAAGACATACAGGGGTTTCCCCCCTCCTTATGTGCCTGAGCAAAGGGAGGGCTTCTTTCAGCGTTCCCATGACCAGCAGGTCTAATTGAAGAGAAAAAAATTGCTAATGAATCTGAAAGAGTAGAAATCAACAGAACCAACCCCTCTGGTTTCTGAATATGACAGGTTTCTAATCAGAATGATGCATCAGGCAGAATTCCTCTACCTCTCTGGTCACTGAAAACTTTCATAACAAATCCTAAAGGGATAGCAAATTAGACATTGAATGTGGTATACAGTGTTTGAGGGTCCAGAATGTTTTGAATGGAAATACTCAATAGATTAATATTATATTATGTCCTATTGTGTTCTTTTCATTACTATCCCAAAATTAGACTTCAAAGAAGAAATACCTTCTGGAAGCACTGGAAAGCATCTCAGGTGCAAAGGTTACACATCTATAGATGTGTAACTAATTAAATCATAAATGCAAGGTGAATTTGACTAAGGGGCAGTTGTTATGTGTCACAAGATGATCACTTGAAAGCCATCTGCTATCTTTGTTGGACAGTTTAGTTCCAGGGAAATGACACTTCCTTTCTTGATCACTGCCAACTGATAAAAAAAAAAAATAGTGTTAGATGTGTGATATAGTTCATGTTTCTGGTAGTAGCAGCCAATGGGGCAGAGCACTCATATCTTATTAAAAGCAGCAACAAGTTGACCGCCTGTGGTTTTCATTCTGAGAACTCAGCAAATGCTACAGCTTATTTTTAGTACCCTCAAACCACTGCTGCTGCTTTTCAATTCATTTTGGTTGACTAACATTGAATTTAAAATACAGTGATGTTGGTTTCCTCTTACTGTATGGTTATCCCTCTCAGAAAACTGCCCAACAAAAAGTGAACTGGTGGGGAGAGCAATGGCAGAGGGACAGAAGAATGGAGAAAGGACAAGGAGAAAGTGTTTCCACGTGATTTACTGATGGCATAAATTATAGATGCTGTGGCATCTGAATTTTGAGATCTTGTTACAGTTTTAAGAAACCTGTTTGAAAATCCTCACTCAGCTGTGGGAAGAGTATAGTGGCTTGAAACACATGGTATCAGCTTTAAAATGACAGTAATTGCTTTGCAGATAGAAGAGGGATGCTTAAGATGGTTCTCTTTCCTGCTTTATGCGCCACTATTTTAAATCCTAACAGAAACTATGAAATTGCAAGAAGGCCGAAATTCAAAAAGTGGGCATGGATATATTATTTGGTGTGAATTAACTTAACCAGTGAACCTGTATTGCCTAACTCACCTCTTCTTCATGCACTGGTCTTGAAAAAATATAGAATTATTGTTCTTTTTAAGCACACTTGCTTTGTGTGAATCATGAATAATTCACACCACACAAGCAATTCACACCTATGAGAGGTGTTGGGTGAAAAAGAATAGAGCCTGTTCATCATGACAGCTGGGTTCTCCCAGCAAAGGTCATATTCTGAGAGATTAGGGCATTTTATCAACCTGTTAATCACCATTTTAAAGGGCCTACTATGTGCCAGGCAGTCAGTTATAAGCTTCAGCTTCAAGAAGAAAGATAACTGTAGAATTTCTTCTAGGGCTGAAGTTCTGTAATCTTTGTCTTTGTATTCTGGTTCTACCACTGGCCCACTGGATACTTTGGGATGAGTTAACTTCTCCAAGCCTCAACAGTGGCTTAGACTATAGGTATAGAAATAAGTTTAAAACACATAAAACCTGCTTCCACTATCACATGATAATTTGGCTCTGAGTTTTGGGATCCATCAAACAAGTAATCTGTGAATGTCTCCCTGGGTTTGTGCACAGTTTAGTGTTGGAATTGGAAAAAAGAATCAACATTTTTCCCACTATCATGAGGGGAAAAACAGGCAGGCAAAGATCAACTTGTATTCCAGTTTAATAAAATGATTTCTGCAAAGCAGAATACAGGGGAGAAAATGATTGCTTCATTCTGAAGTGGCGAAGGAAGTAACATATGAGTGTGTCCTTAAAGAATGAACAGAATTTTTTCCAGAATGCATATGGGAGAGAAAAGCATTTCAAGAAGTGGAAGAACTTAGGCAAAGACATGGAGATGGGGCAGCTGATGACCTTATTGCTAAGACTTCCTTAGACCTGTTGATCTCTTTCCTGGTGGGTACTCTTCTCTAGACAGTCATGTTTAGAGGCCTCTAAGCAGAATATGCACAGACAATTGGACCACTTGTTGTTTGCTGACGCAGAAATTTTTATGTCTGCTCAGGTAGCAGTGGGCTTGAGGGGACAGTTTTGGAAGCCATAGGATGTGTGGGGACTGGAGCACCAGAAAAGGAACAATTGATTCTATAGCATTTAGGCTATAGGGAGAGGAACTCAACAGGGGTCAAGCCTATCGTGGAGGGAGAGTTGTGGGAGATTTAGGTTTGGTTGGTTTGCACGAAGAGTAAAGCTCCAGGAGTTTATTCAGTATGAAGCTGGAAGTCGTCTGACTTCTCTGAGAATAGTCTCTCACTTGTTGTTGTTCAAATATACATCCACATGTGTCATTTATTCCACATTTCTGAGACATAACAAATGAAATAATCAAGTTAAAATTAATTTAAAAATACATTCCCTGAGAACTCTTCAGAAATTTGCTTCTAGAATATTCAATTATCTGTGAAAGAAATTTTTGTGCCTTTGTTTGAAGGATAACGGCTGGTAATGAAATTTCACAATCACCTAGATTGGCAAGAAGTTTGATTACTTTTATTATTTTAAATCACAAAAAAGCCCTTATCCATAAGATTTTCTATGGTACTTGATTAAAGTCTGAAACAAATAATGGCTGATTTGCAAAACAGTTTTCTTCATAATCATGGGTTATCTTTATTTTTATAAATTTAAGTAAGAACTTTTTACATATTAGTAGTAAGATTGCCAAATGGATAATTTCATAGGGGCAAGAATAAAATCAATCCAAGCAAAGTAATAAGTAAATGAGATATTTTCTAGTAACTGAACAAGGTGTAATACTAAATACTAAAGAGTACCCCCCACCCCAATAGGAAGGTAAGATTTTGAAAACATTAAGCACATTCCTTTTTTGTTTTTGTTTTGCGTTTTTGAGACAGGGTCTCACTGTGCAGTTCAAGCTGCTCTTGAGCTCACTTTGCAGCCCAGGCTGGTCTTGAACTCCCAATGATCCTTCTGCCTCAGCCTTCTGAGGGATGATAGGCATGCACTATGAAGTTAACATAGACTTTATAAATTAAAAGGCAAATAGAAAAAGATAAAATCAGTATTGTATGCAGAGTCATCAAAAACTTAATTGGGAAAAAACCATTCCTAAATGGATTGAGGTATTTATTTATCTGTATTTTATTGCACTTGGGCCAGGTAGATAATGCTGTTTTCTACTATCACACTGGCATTGAACCTAGAAACGATAAGTGAGAAATTCCCTTACTCATCATTTTGGAGTCATGACCAGTGACATACACAAGCCTTCCACATTCCGATATGTGGGAGGCAAACCTAAGCTATAGTTATTCTGGGAAGACTCATATACATGTGATTAGAAACTCCATGACTTCTGTTCCACAAAACAGGGTGTCATGGCTGAAACACATGCATACTGAGAAGTCTTTTGAGCCATTGGATTGCTCAAAAATTCTCTTCTTGAATATTCATATATGGGTAAAAGAAACTGCTGTACCTTTAATAATAATTGCTGGCAATTAAATTTCACAATCATCCAGGTTGGCTGAAAGGTTTGGTTACCTTTTTTACTTTAAATCACATACACAGAAATTATGATTTAAAAATCAAACACACAAAAAAACTTTGTAAGCTGACATTAACCGTGAGAGAGATTGACTTAGATGATGTCCACTGGTCCTTGTTTTTTGATGTCCTTTCCATCATTCAGTTTAACTTAGTATCTTTCATTGCCTTTTTTTTAGTGACTAAGATGAACCTAGTGACACAGAATCTGAGAGCTAGAGATACCCTTCTGAAGCATATTTGTTACGGTTTTGATGTTAAATGTCCTCCAAAGGCCGCATGCTAAAGGGATGGTCTGCTAGGTGGTACTATTGACAGCTGGCGGAACCTTTAGGAGTAACGCCTAGTGAAAGAAGCTAGGTCATTGGGGTCAGGTCCTTAAGGAGCCTATCAGACCCCAACTCCTTTCTCTTTTTCTCTCTTCTGTCCATCCTTTGTCATGTGTTGCATGCTATGAGAGTCTGTCCTGTCATAGGCTCAAAAGCAATGTAGCCAAGGAGCGATGAACTGAAACCTCTGAAACCATGAGCCAAAATAGATGTCTTCTCCTTTGAATCAGTTTATCACGTGGATTTTTTT